GGTGCAGGTCTGATTTTAGGTGCAAGGTCTAGATTTTGGGTGCAGGTCTGATTATGGGTGCAAGGTCTGATTGTGGGTGCAGATCTGATTGTGGGTGCAGGTCTGCAGCTGGGCTGGGGGGGCAGGGGGACCCCATAGACCTGACCACATTGGAGGAGCACGGCTGTGGGTTCGGGTTCAGCCCCAGAGCAGGAGGGGATTTCAGTTGTGACAAGCTGCTCTGAACCAAGAAGCCCAGTGGCCTCTCTTCCTTCTGCCCAGCTTTCCCAGCACCTCGGTTTTGGTTCCTCCTGTTCCTGAGCGTATTCCACCTCAGCAGCTCAGGCCGCTGCCTCCTCATTCCCACGCAGCGCTGGGCCGGGCTCATCAGCACACGCTGATTAAGATACAGCTGATTAAAATGTGTGACTCTCACGTGGTGCGAAGGGGAATATCTTCATTTATTTTCCAGGAAAGCTGATGTTGCCCCAGGGAAGGGGGAACCGGTTAGGAGGGGGCTCTGCTGGGCAGCAGCAGGGCTGAGCACAGGGATATGCAGCCACACACGGATGTTCAGCTCCCGTGGAGCCTCTTTGCCTGCAAACCCAGGGGCGAGGGGCTCCCAGCTCTTGCTAAACATCGGGGTGCAGCATACCCCTTGTCCCAGCTTGCCCTGCACCCCGTATCCTGCCCTGGGCTGCTCCCAGCTGGTGAGCAGGATGGTGGGACAGGTGGGATGGCAGGACGGGCTGCTCACCTGCGTGGGCAGAGCTAGCTGCCTGTGGGGCTGTCGGCTGGCACCAGGTAATACAGCCTCCACCGGTTCTGCGGCTGCTGAGCTGGCAGGGAGAGCCCCGTGCCCGTGGCATGGGGACACGGGCTGCCCCGGCCGAACCTGCTCGGGGTGCACAGCCCAGGCGTCCTCCCGCCTTCCCGCAGGGAGAAGACCTGCAATTAGGCTGCAGCCTGCTCCTAGAGGGAGCTGGGGTTGGGCTCTTGCCACTGGCTTGCGGCAGGTTCAGGGGTGGCTGTTGCAGGCGAGTGCCACTGTCCCCTTGCCTTTGAGCTCAGGATGTGGAAGCCAAGGGCTCCAGCACCATTGCCAGCCCTTGGCTTTGCTCGCGGTGGCTGGGGAGGCTGGTAGGACTCAGAGGAAACAAGGGAGATCTCCCAGCACGGCTCCCAGCCCAGCCAGGACACACAAGTGATGTCCACCCCATCCAGGTGACATCCCCTGTGTGTGGATTTTCATTATCCCATGGGACAATGCTGCTTCCCTGGCTCATTTGGACTGAACCAGCTCAGGACCAGGCCCCTGGGGTGTGTTAGGCAGGGGATAAGCCTGGCTCATCTGCTCCCCGAGCAAGAGTGGAGGTGGAAATGTTAAGCCATGTTTAAAACACAACATGTGAGTGCGATTCCCGCTCCTGTGTGGGACCAGGTGGCTGGAGCTGGTCGATCAGGGTTTGCAACATCTGGGCTGGTCCTGGCTGAGCTGGGAGGCTGTGCTGGCCCCACAGCTCCCCCAGGGCACAGCATTTCCCCCCAGGACAGTGCAACCAACGCTGCCCTGCCCTGGTCCCCGCTTGTTCTCACCTTTGCTCAGTGCCCTTGGCGCTGGCATGAAGATCCTTCTCACCTTCTTCACATGCAAAGTATTTGGAGGCTGAGCTGAGGCAAGTCTGGAAATTGCAGCCTGGGAACCCTCTTTGGGTGTAAAGTACATGCAGGGGAGAGTTTCTGCAATGCCCTCAGGCTCAGAGAGCTGGGAGTGCGAGAAATGCAGAGGGAAATATTTATTTGGCATTTGAAGTGGGGCTGAAGGTTATTTTCTAGCTGTGTGTGTGAGCAGATGTTTGGGGGGGCGGGTCAAGCACGGGGGAAACCTCCTGTAAACTCAAGGCAAGGCTCACCCTGGCTCTAACTCCCCTCAACCTTTGGTGCTGCAGGTTGGTGCCTTTGCCTGGGAGAATTGTGGTGACAGGAGGGACCCCGTGGTGCTGCAGAGCCTCTCCGTGGCACCTGACCCCATCAGCATCCCGGGGAGCCTGCGCGTCAGCGCGGCTGTCAGCAGCAGCAAGACCGTAGCCTCCCCTCTGAAGGTATGTGCTGGAGGTGCCTCCATGGGATGAGGGAGGACAGAGCTTCCCAAAACCACTGGCAGCTGGGAAATGCCCAGCAGTGGGTATGGGAATGAGCAGCCCTTGGGGGAAGGAGGCACAGAGCGGTGCTGGGCTGAGCGTGCCGGGCTCTGTCAGCCAGAATGGGGCAATGGGCACGGGGAGACCTGTGGTGAGAGCCGACAGCCCAGTGGGAAGCTCTCAACCTTGTCCCAGTGAGAGAAACCACATGAGCTGTGTTGTGTCTTGGGCATGTAACGACTCTGGGAGGGAAATGAAACCCCAAGTGCCCTGGGTGCTCCTGGCAGTCATTACTGTACTCATTTTTCAGCGGCCAGACCCAGCTGCTCCCTCCAGGGCCGTGCCATGGCACTGCTGCCGGAGCCCTGGGCTGGCCTGGCCACCCTGCACCACATTTTGGGGACATTTTGGGATGAGACAATGCGTCTCCCTGCCCAAAATGGACAGGCTGTCTTGAGCAAAGCCATGGTGCCTGTTTGGGGCTGGGGCTGTGAGGAGCGTGCTGAGGGAACATGGAGGCAGAGCTGTGGGACAGGAGCTGCCGGGAGGTTTTGGGACAAGACACCGAGGAGAGGGAAAGGAGTGGGTGTGTGGGATGCTGGGAGGTGTTTGCTCAGGGGATCAAGCTGAGGTTGGAGGAAGAGAAATGTGCAGACAGAGAGGAACCAAAAGCAGGAGGGGGAAGTGGGAGAGCATGTGGTGGCCCCATGGACACCCCAAAGAATTTCATTAGCAGGAGTGGAGGGAGATGGCTCGAGGAGGGTGGTAGGACAGGTTGGAGGAGCTGCGGGTGCCTGTGCTGGCTGTACCGGTGCTGAACACCTTCCTTCCAGGTAGTACTGGTGGTGGAGAAGGCGTTGGGCGACCTCTGGATCCAGCTACCCTGCGTTGACCAGCTGGGCAGCTGCACCTATGACGATGTCTGCACCATCCTCGACAACCTCATCCCACCCGGCACGACCTGCCCGGAGCCCCTGCTCACCTATGGCATCCCCTGCCACTGTCCCTTCAAAGCGGTACGGAACTCCTGGCTGGCAAGATGCTGGCAGTGCCACCGGGTACCACTGTGCCCTTTGGTGTGGGGCTGGGGGGCTCAGCTGGTGACTTACCTACATGTCCCCTCTCTCCATAGGGCTCCTACTCCCTGCCAGCCAGCAACTTTGACCTGCCTGATGTGGAGCTGCCATCCTGGATGACCAACGGCAACTACCGTGTCCGGGCAGTGGCCACCAATGGTGGGCAGGAGCTTGCCTGCATCAAGCTGGCCTTCTCCCTGCAGTCCCACTGAGAAGTGGGGCTGTCCATCCTTTCCCCACCACCTTGGTCCCCTGTCTCATCCCATCCAGTGACACTCCATCCCATCTCAACCCATCCCTGCGAGCTGCCACCCTCCTGCTGCCAGGAGGAGGCAGCCCCTATACCCCCGCTCAGTGCTCCCCTGCCCTGCTACACACAGAATGGCCCCTTCAGCTGTCCCACTGTCCCCAACCCCCTCACCAGAGTGTCCCCTGCCCCGGACAGGGTGCCTGTGGAGCTAACCTCAGCCTTTCAGTGTGACCTAGGGGTAGTTATTTTTTACCTAGTTTCTCTTTCTTATTTTTTTCTTAATCCCATCCAGGGAATTTTAGACAAAAACATTCCAGGGATAAGCAATATTTCTTGCAGCAGTCCAGGGAGCGAGGGAGCATTTGGGAGTGGTGGGGCAGGCTGGAAGGATGCAGGATTAGCTGTGGAGGGTGTCACCACTTGCCCCCATCTCACCTCTAGCTGGAGCATGGGGCTGTTTTGCAGAAGTGTCCCCAAAGTGGCCGCAGGAGCCCTGTCCCCTCCATAGCAGCTCTGGATCTGCCTTTGGCACATTCCTGTCCTGTGTGTGGGACCAGCTTGGTGACACGGGTCACCTCCCTGTGCCCCTCCTGCAGCAAACATCACAAGCACAACAGGACTGGTGCTACCTGAGCCCCAGATGGATGTCCCTGCTCATAAGGGACCAAGTGGCCAGCGCTGCTGCCAGCAGCAGGAGAGGTGACTGGACACCAGCTGTGCTCGCTCCAGGGGGGACATGGCTGTGACGGGCAGCTGGGCACAGCCTGGCTGAGGACAAGTCCCACTCATCTCATTTTGCCACTCCTGCTCATAAGGGACCAAGTGGCCAGCGCTGCTGCCAGCAGCAGGAGAGGTGACTGGACACCAGCTGTGCTCGCTCCAGGGGGGACATGGCTGTGACGGGCAGCTGGGCACAGCCTGGCTGAGGACAAGTCCCACTCATCTCATTTTGCCACTGGGACTGAGCCGAGGAAGGAGGCTGCACTGCGACCATACTCCCTGTACACCAGCAGCAGCATCCCCACCATGTGGAGCAACATCTGGGACATGGGATGGACTGGGAGATGACCATGAAGACCAGCAGCCTGGGTCCAATTTGGGGTCCCTGCAGCCCATCTCCTGGTCATGGCTGGGGGACCAAGGCA